GTACACCAGCCAGATCGCCAAACTCTCCTCAGCTTCCAGCACCAGGCCGACACACTCTATGCCCGGGATCTCCGCAGCTGGGAGCGCCCTGAAGGAGCAGGCCTCTCGCACAAATATCGCTACTCCTCCCCCCCGCCCCCGATTCCTTGATTGGTGTAGGACCGAGAACCCGGGCGGGGCAAGCTGGGAGAGGGCTACAGTCTCCCCACCCCGCACCCAGGTCTCGGTCATGCAGGCCAGGTCCACATGTTGTTCTATAATGAAGTCCCGAAGGACCATGGTCTTATTATTGATGGACCTGGCATTGCACAACACCAATGTCGGAGGGGGGTACATACTCCGAGCCCCACTGCCAGCATCCCTCGGGATGGGCCTCAGGCTGGAAGGGTGCCGAGCTCTAATGGTTCTCCGCTCCCTTCCTTTTCTCCCTGGCCTGGACCCACCGCAATACTTCCCCCTCCCAAAGAGCACCGGAATCTGCTGTAAGGACATAGCTGCCATAGGACGATCTACGCCACAAGCACCTGACCGTCTGTGCAGTTGGTCTCACAGCTCTCTTCCTGCCTCCCCCGAAAAAGTGCAATACAACTGGCCTATGCAACACTCACTGCCAAGTTCATACCCCCCACTTCATACACACACACTCACTCTCCCAGTGGTGCTCACAGGCTACCAGCAGTCACGCTTACATCCACTCAATTTACCCACACTCCTTTTTTGGCAACACTTTCCAATATCACTTGTCAGCTGAGATTGGGGCCGCAGCCCTAAAAGGCAGCGGATAAAGCTGCTCACCAATTCTTTGTCATAGGGCAGTCGTTAAAGGTCACTAAAAAGTTGCCTCCTTGCCCAAAGCCGGTTCTCATTGTTCTTATCCAGCCGGTCGTCGACCCACCTAATTGCAGCCCAGCTGCAGTCCTGTAGATCTCTCTCCAGCAGCCAGGCCCCAGCGGCGTCCCCTCAGCGGCGGCCCCAACAACCAGACCAGCCGCAAGGGAGAACAGGGGCGAGGGCGGCCAAAGCGGAGACAAAGGCGGGGGGCGCAGATGACGAAACAAGGAAGGGCCACCGGAGAGAAGGCGCAAGGAGGCAGACCGACCCGGGGAGGCAGGAAGCGCAAGGGAGACGGGGCAGACAGGCGCGAAAATGGACGGGGGGCCGCCGGCCCCAACACTCCGCCAGCCCAGCAGCCACCGCGGCAGTCCCCAGCAGCGCCCAGTGTCTGCCGCAGTCCGTCTCCCGTCCCGCAAACTGCGCGCCGCTCCCGGCAACAAATGATGGTAAGGTCCCCCTCGGTCGCTCGCCCCCGCGCCACTCCACAATTCACCTCCGGGGCTCCCGCCCTCAGTTCCAGCGTCGCCGCTCCGCTCCTCTCTCCCCGCGACTCCCTGAGGCCCTGGCCCCCGGCCTGCACGTCGACCCACGTTCCAGGCCGTCGGCGTTCTCAGTTCCACCAGCTCCTCCCCGGCCCCAGCAGCAGTCCCCCGGCAGTCTCCACCTCGCGCCGCGGCTCCGTCACTACAGCCGGGCCGCTCGCATTGTCTCCTGCCCGGTCGGCTTCCCGTGGGTGGTGAAGATGTTACACCGTCCCGGAGGTGAACGGAGCTAGCGTCTTCACGGAATAGAGGGACTGTGAGAAGATCTTTGTGGGTGGCTCCCGGTGATCCTTGGAGAGGCTTTGAATGTCAGATCTCCCAACAGGCCGGGAGGTTAAAGTTTGGGTAGGATGTTTTCTTTGGTGAGAATCCCCAAGAGACAGCCCCATATTTATGCGGAGACACTATGGAAGCTCAAAACCCCCCAAAAGTGATAGAGTTGTTGTTGTTCAGTCACACAGTCGAGTCCGACTCTTCGCGACCCCACGGGCCACATCACGCCAGGCCCTCCTGTCTTCCGTCGTGCTCCGAAGTTTGCTTAATTTCATGTTGGTTGCATCGATAGCGCTGTCCAACCATCTCATCCTTTGCCGTCCCCTTCTTCTTTGAGTTGTTTTCTTATGTGTTTCTAATTGAATTATTTTATAATTTTAACTGTATTTTTAATTGTTCAAATGTT